CACTTCTCTACCCTCACTTCTCTACCCTCACTTCTCTACCCTAACTTCTCTACCCTCACTTCTCTACCCTCACTTCTCTACCCTCACTTCTCTACCCTCACTTCTCTACCCTCTCTTCTCTACCCTCACTTCTCTACCCTTACTTTTCTATCCTCACATCACTACTTTGGTTCTCTACCCTCACTCTTTCACTACCATTCCTTTTTTCTAACTTATATCCTAATATCCTAAGTTAAGGGGAAATCCAACTACTATGCAACATCCAACATTCACCCCTTCCCTCACTCCTACCTCCCTCCCTCCCTCAGTCACACCTCCCCCCCCCACTGCCCCACTCCCCTCGGCTGCTCTCGGCAAATTGAATTGAGTGTTAATGGGAGCCTGAATTTAAATCGTCGTCTGTAATGGATGAGATGGCGTCCTGCACTGCTGCTGCACTGCTGTTGCTGTACTGTACTGATGCTACTGCACTGCTGCTGCTGTACTGCTGCTGCACTGCTGTTGCTGTACTGCTGCTGCACTGCTGCTACTGCACTGCTGCTGCTGCTGCTGCTGCTGCTGCTGCTGCATTGCTGCTGCTGTAATGATGCTACTGCACTGCTCTGCAGCACTGCCGCTGCTGCACTCTTGCACTGCCGTTGCTGCTGTACCTATGCTACTGCACTGCTCTGCTGCACTGCCGCTGCTGCACTCGTGCACTGCTGCTGCTGTACTATTACAGTGCTGTAATTATACACTGCCGCACTGCTGTTGCTGCTGTTGCACTGCTGCACTGTCCTCACCAGCAGCAGCAACGTCACCTGCTCAAGCACCAGATGCAGCAGCAGCACCAGCATTAACTGAAGTGTCAGCAGTAGCACCGCCATCACCAGCACCAGCAGCAGCACTAGCCGTTGGCTACAAATTCGACTCATAAATAATCCCTGGATCCAACGCTCAGCATCTGCATGTAATAACTTTACTCATCCACAGAACTAGAAGCCACAAACTACGCTGGAATACCAGACCAGTGGTTGATAACCTGATGATAATCTAATGATGATGATAATCTAATCCCGACTACTTAATGATAATCACGCCAATATTCAAACATGCTCGCTCATAAGCAGGCAGTTTTGCGAACGGCCTCACCTACTCCAGCCTAACCTCTTCAGGCCTAACCTCTTCTGGCCTAACGTCTTCTAGCCTAACCTCTTCTGGCCTAACGTCTTCTGGCCCAACGTCTTCTGGCCTAACGTCTTCTGTCCTAACGTCTTCTGGCCTAACCTCTTCTGGCCTAACCTCTTCTGGCCTAACCTCTTCTGGCCTAACGTCTTCTGGCCTAACGTCTTCTGGCCTAACGTCTTCTGGCTTAATGTCTTCAGGCCTAACCTCTGCTGGCTTAACGTCTTCTAACCTCTACTGGCCTAACGTCTTCTGGCCTAACCTCTTCAGGCCTAGCCTCTGCTGGCCTAACCTCTTCAGGCCTAACCTCTACTGGCCTAACCTCTTCTGGCCTAACCTATTCACGGTGCCCCAACTCGCAACCTTCTTGCAGCCAATGACTGGCTCTCCCTGCTCACTTACCCCGCCTCTCTGACTTCCTGCAGCCAATGAGGTAATGTTAGATTCGCTGAGGATTGTACTTGGGTTAGATATGTTGCGACGTGTGTAGGTTAGGCCAGAAGAGGTTAGGACTGGGTAAGCTTGTCCAGATGTAATTGTACGATGGTTCAGTTCAGCATGCTTTAAAGATGGATGTAGACATACGGCGCTATGGCATTTATCTCTTGACTCCGTAAGCTGCTATGCAGTCTAGCGTTCATACCTACGGAAAGAAACATGAACTAAAGTGCGAAGTTTGGTAAAGCTTGTCTTTTAGCATACGCCCCATCCATACCAGCAGTAGCGCTAACACCAGCAGCGACACCAGCACAAGCACCAGCAGCAGCACTAACACCATCAGTAGTACCAGCTCCAGCAGCAACGCCAACAGGAGTACTAGCAGCAGCACCAGCACCACCAGCCGCGCCATCAGGAGCACCAGCAGCAACATCATTACCAGCACTACCAGCACCTGCACCAACACCAGCACCAGTCTCGCCGCTATACTCCCAAATGGCAAGTGTCGCAAATGGCACAGTAAATTGGCGCGGCCTTAAGGGCGAATTTGCCGTGACTGCTGCGCCTGCGTTCACGTGGCGCATGAGTTCACGTCGCGCCAGTTAACAAGATTTCCAATGAATGCATCCGGCAGTTGATGACAAAGAAAATAATAAAATAAGGCCGAGAAATATATTTAATATTTAGGCTAAGCGGATTCAACTGGTGAATATGATGGTAAAGTACAATCGGACTGGAAGGAAAATTGTTCTTTCGACTGTATTTAATTCTAACTATTCGCTTAGTAATGGGTTATACTATAATCTAGAGCATAGATGTCAATAAAAAATATAAATTACGATTCAATACATAAGCAGTGATAGATCGGCAACTGTCCGCCCATGACTCATGGTCGCTTCTTAGGCTGCCTCTTCAGTAGGTTTAGAGGGGGGGGGGAAGAAATCTGTGTGGGGGAAGGGAAAGCGAGGGGGAGGGGGCGAGAGATCGGGCGTTTTTGGGGACGCTTGCGTTGAGGGAATTTGAGCCTTGCCGGCGTCTCAGCTGGTCTTTCTAAAAGGATTTAAACTGTGAAATATATTCAATCAAATGGGAAGTGGTTTGCGTCGTCGACTGGGAGATGGCTTAGGGATCGCGCCATTGGGGGTGAGGGAGTGAAGCTGGGCAGGGGTTGAGGTGCTGTACGATGTTGCTGAGAGTGAAGAGGTGATGTTTCGGGTAGAAAGCGGGGGTTATTGGAAGAGAGGTGATGATTAGTAAGGTGATTAGGTTGATGGTAAGGTGATGGTAAGGAGATGGTAAGGTGATGGTAAGGAGATAGTAAGGTGATGGTAAGGTAGATGATTGTGGCTCTGGAAAAAGGTGATGATGCGCAGAAAGAAAGGTAAGTTTAATAAGTTTTCCACAGAAAGGTACATAAGAAAGGGATGAAGTGATATTTGGAATAATAGGCGTTGCGGAGGCTGCTAGAGTAATTAAGGTATCCCTCCGTTACTTGATTTCTCACACAATCTTCTCACTGACGGGGCTCTAAAGACCGTAAGTTGAGCGACGATCTTGGATTTCGTTTACCGACTATGAGCGGCAGTTTCGTTTTCTCAAGTAATTAAACGCCTGATAATAAAAGGCCTGATAAAATGATTTCCTGGGCTATAAAATATGAATTTGTGCGTTATCACTGCTAAGTAAATTCGTAAAGTAGATTTTAAAAACAGTTTTAAAAATGTTTGGGTCGTTTATTTACCTTAAAAATGCTGTGTTGTTCCAGGAGTGATGCTTGCGAGTTAAAGATACCAACCAGCATTGATGTCGATGATTAGATTCACTCTGGACACTTGATGTGTCATTTTGTCCAAAGTGTTGCGCCTTTTAGGCGCATAGCCCTGAAGCTCACATTTATCAGGTCAAACTGGGCCAGGTTGACCCATACAGGAGCAAAATTTGCATCGGTATTTGGACAAAATCTCACTCACTTCCCTGATTTCACGCAACGGAAAACATTTTCCCGCAACTAACTAAACAAAATTTAGCGCATCGCTGACCCTGGTGAACAAGTATAGTTGAACGTAAGTGAATCTTGGTTTTGTCATTACTTATTTGAATGAGGTATGATGAGTATTAAACATTGCTAAAAAAAATTCTGGATAACGTACTATCCTGTATATGTTTTCTAGGCGATTTGAGACGAACTATATATTCATTAATGATTACAAGCTTCTACGCTGATAGTTCATAAAAAGTGAAGCCAGGTACGGAAATTAAAATGCATTTTCTATGTCGTGTACTTTTTATTGTTTTACTAAATATAATAGTTCCTATAGTACAAAAAAATATCAAATGGATTATAAAATTTAAAAAATTAATACATTATAAGCGACATTTCAGTGCTGGACATGTTGCAATGTACATTACAGGTTACAAATATGTTATATTAACTTAACATCTATGTTGTTATAGTCTATTACAATATAATATTTCTAATTATTAAAAATCTTTGTTAGGGTCAAAAGTCGAAATTGAAGACATTGCGTTAGTATGCGTGCTCGAGATTGAAATCGTTCACGAAATGATATTGTTTCTAGTGCATCACTGGATTTGAATAATAGTTATGATAGTATTTTATTACCAGACTTTGACAAAAAACTCGCAAAATATACAGAGAAAATATATGATAGGAAGACAAATCTTTTATCGTGAAGTGAATGAATCAAGGATCGACAGCATTCACGGTCTACCATCCCCCTCCGTTGTCAGCAACTCCCAGAGCACCAAGCCCTCCAAGCCCACCAAGCCCTCCAAGCCCACCCAGTCCTCCCAGAGCACCGAGCCCACCCAGCCCTCCTAGGCCTAAGCCCAGTCCTCCTAAGCCCAGTCCCCCAATGCCTAGCCCACCGAGAAGGCTCAATTGGAGCAAAGGTCCCAGGGACCCCAAGCCTCCTAATCCCAAGCCTCCCAACCCCAAAACTCCTAATCCTCCTAAGCCTCCAAGTCCCCCAAGCAGCAACGGGTTGAGGCCTGTCAGTCCAGTTCTGCCTCCACTGGTAGTCTTCTTGACGTGGTGGACGTGGTTGTGCTGGTGGACGTTTTCTGGGTGGATCGTGTGGACTGGCTGGCGGGTGGACGGGGTTCCTCCCCCATAGCTGGGGAAACGTCCCGAGTCCCACGCGCTCTGGGGGGAGCCGCGGGGAAGAGCAAACACCCTCACAGTGAGGAAGTCACTCAAAAGAATGCAAACCATAGCAGAAGTCACCATGAATCTCATGGTTTGTTTAACCATTATGGCTTTGGCTCCGTAGTGGAAGGTTATGTATTAATTCAAACACGTTGCGTAGTATTTGTCCTGGTAAATCTACTGATCATTGCTGATGTAAATATTGACTTGTGTTGTACGTATCTCAGTTCCTAAGTATTGTCTTGGTCCAAAAATTAACTTGACAGTTTAACCACGATTGAATTCTCAGGAACACCAGATGCGTCGAATTTAGTTCTATTGGCAAAACCAATAAATTATTTCTTATTCGTAACGTTTTACTTGTTGCCTTTTGCACTGATTTGCAAACATTAACGTCAATTTAGGATGGTTTTTCAATTGACGTGGCGTAGAGAATAATTTTAGCCTGACATGTTCTTTACTCGTCAGTGAGACCTCGACTGTCAGCAGCAGCCTCCACTCAGCGCGTTCATATATATCTTTCTTACCCCCTCCACGAGCAACACTCCATTTAATTAAAGCTCAACATATCTCTCATCACTGCACCTACGTGGATAAACATCTTCAAATTTTCCGTACCTTCAAGAGGATAGATTTGACCTTGGCGCCTTCAAACAGATAAGACATAAACAATGAGGCGGCCTTCCGATAAAGAGTTTTTATTTTGAACGCTATTCAAATGATTATGTTATCCCAACATCTCTCCTTCACCCTTGGGTCTCCGCGAACAATTGCGGTTTAAAGTTTTAATTACAGCTCAGGGATCGCGCCTGCTTAGGCCAGGAAGTTGCTACAGAAATGAGCCCGCGTTTGTAATTAACATTAAATGCGCATAAGGTGATCCTTGAAACGAAATCAGGTACTAGGGTAACTACTAGGGTAAAAAGGAATATAAATGAAATTTAACAGTTTGTCCCGATTAAGGGAAGTTTGAAAAATGTATTTCAAATGTAGATTTCGACTATAGTGCGCTAAATTTAACTGAACAAAATGTTACTTCTGTTGCTTGTGTTAAGAATAACTTCAAGTTTCCTATCCATGACATATATGTGTCGCGATATGGCCTGGACCTGAATATTTATTCTTAGTAGGTGTTAAGCGAGGCATTGCACGTCGTGGAGGAAAAGACTGGATCGGCAAATGATATTTTATTTTGCAATTGTGAGAGATGAATTTGAATCTAAAAACGCAAAATGTTTTTTCATGCAGCGAAACAAAGAACATATAATTTTAGTTCTATGTTCCATGTAAAAAATCGGGTTAGAGCTGGTGTTTCGTAATTAGCAAACGCAAGCTTTATTATTATTGACATATTAACGCGATTCCGATCAACAGGAATGAAGGTATTAATGAAACTGGACTCTCCCATTACTCAGTTTGACATTTATTCAAATATAAAAATGAGAGCTAACGTGCAAGAAACTCGTTCCCATTGTTGAAATAATTCAACCATGCTTGTTCCTACCATCAATCGAACCACAATCATAATCCCACATTTTTTCTGGACCTGAACCACGCAGACCCACACCCACCTCTCACTTATTTTCACGATCTATTAAAGCTCAAAATTTTTTTAAGTTTCGGTAGGGATTGATTTTTCTTTGTTAAGCTTCTGCAATAAATTTGAAGTTATTAATGATTCGGCTATTTAAAAAATAAAATTTCCCGTAAATATAAAATCAACCGATGATATTTTTTTCTGTTATAAGGAAATTAAGAAAACGTATGAGAAAATTTGCAAAATAATAGACTTGGTCCGTTGTCAGAACTCATTATTGAAATTGCAGTTTTCCGGTCTGGCCGGATTGGGATGTTATGTTCAGTTATCAAATCCGAGTTCTGACAAAGCTTCCTGGCTTCATTAAGTTCATTGTGACATTGTCCCGATCCCCAGTGCCTGCTCAGCCTCAGCTTGCACCTTCATTGGTGTCTTCACTCTTCAGTTCCGTATCTGATTCGGATGTGTGTCAGGGTATGTGCTGAATGAACTGACCTGGTATGAAAATATATTTCTTCATTATACTCCAGTTGAATACATTTATATCGGTTCATTAATATATTCATTAGGATTTAGGCCTACATACGAAATTCCTCAAGACCTCAACAGGCTCAACTTCCTCTCAGAACTGTCAGAAGTCAGTATTCCCTGTTCCTGATTGATATTGACTGTAGACTGTAGTTGTAAAATTGTTATATATATAAATATTTTATGCTCTGAAAGTCTGAAGTAGCAGCAGCACAGCCGGCACTGATGCTTCATGCTGCAATGCACATGCAGGCCCAGCACCTTTTCTATTTTACTCGCAGTCTCATTCATAGCCTATCTCATTTTAGTTGAATTTTCTCTTCACATGAATAAATTATGGGCTAAGAGGCAGAAAGCAGTTATTTTAATTTAATTTTCTCATTCAACTTTCTGGCTGCTGCCCAAAGTTTAATTTGTGAGAAATTTGGCTGAAACCAGCCATAAATTGTTAAAAAATTTCAATATGCCCATTGCCCACAATACAATTCTGGCTAATTTCACCCAAACACCCATTTCTAGGTATTGCCTTTTTTCTATTTTTTTTTTCAGTTGAAAATAATATGAATGGCCTATTTTTATTTTTAGATGCAATTTTTGAAAATCACTTGTGAAACAATTGTTTTGGACTTTTGGGAAACTTCTGCGGCAGTTCTGCCTAATATTGAATATTCCAAATAGACAAAAATGCCCAAGAATCTGATTCTGAACCTGGCCAATTTCACCTTTTTCTATGGCATTCTCCCAATTTCTTCAGTGGAAAATGAGGAAAACTGTATTTTCATCAGCCATTTTTAAAGTCTATTCTGGTTAACTATATCAGTATCTGGAATGTCTGGAAGGATTCCTAAAAATTATGGCTAATTATGTAAATTTTGCAAGCAAAAAGCAACTTACAAGCTTCACAAGATTGCAGTCAAAACGTAGTGTTTTCCTTATATTTTATATTTTATGAAAGAAATTAGGCAGAGGCAACATAAATGATTGAAATTGACTGTAATTATAAGCATATTTGTCTCATTTACAACTGGGTTTTGCCCAGTTTTGGGAATTTTTTAGTTCAGTTAATTATCTATATATCATTATAATCAGAATTTGTGATCGTGAAATATATATAAAACTTCAGAAAGGTTTTTGGAGGCTTTTAACTTTAAGGCTTTTAACTTATTAACAAGTTTGATATTTTTAGATTAACTGAATATCTTATGGAATATTTTTATTTTGAATGTTATTGTTAAATTTGTAATCTGCTAACCTTTCCTTGTTGCAGCAACAACTGTTTAACATGGTTGTGGTAAAAATGTGCAGTATATTCATAGAATTGATGGCTGACTCTCATAATTCACTATGTATTTTTCTAATTTTTCAGGTTCTATTTCCTTGAAAGAATGGAGAATTATGAAACAATTGCATCATTGATGCTGGATGAACTCACACTAGAAGTACAAGCTCCTGCCAGCAAGGATTTTATGCCAGGACTCATACTTAGTTGGTCAAAAAGCTCAGCCCGGAGAGATGAACAGAAAAGCTCTAAAATGTTACTCTCAAAATATAGTGTAAGCAAGTGTTAATAAATTGAGTCTCTGAAATTTACTTGACTTCAGACTGATTGACTATAGACCTTTTCCATGATGCTTCCCTCATAAGAATGTAGTTACAACTGTACCTACCTACTTGAATTAACTTATGTTACATTGTTGAACTTTCTTTGTTGTAGAGAGAAGTATCAATATATTTGTATAGAATGTTTTCACCACTTCTCTCTCTTGACAAGTTTCACTAGGTAAAATCATCATATATCCTAATTCATATTTGAAGTTTTTATATGTGATTCCAGCCAAGTGTGACTGGAGTTGATTTGCTCAAATTATTTCTGAAATAGTGGATTATATATCTATTTAGCTGGTAAAAATATTTAAGTTAGGAGGACTTCTACCTTCAAATTAATTTCTGTGAAATATTTATTTTTGAATTCTGAAACATCCATGAAATGACAGGTTCTGCGTTCTCATACTCTAATTCTAATTTTTCAGAGGTCTGCTTTGCTGTTCGAGAGTAACTTGACTGCCACTTTTTGTGAGGCAATTTTGTCAGCTGGCATTGCAAAGTCGCAATCAGATTCTCAGGAAGAGCTTCCAGGATCGCATATTATATCCTCCGTATTTATTTTAGTTGAAACTGGGGACCTGTTGCTTGCAATCTTCACAGGTCTCAGATGTCAACTTCTCTGTCTAGGGAGAGTACCATGTGACATTGTGACCATTGATACAATGCAGGGTAAGTAAAAGAATGTAGAAAAATAAACATAATGAATAACCGTATGTGTTGTCATATTTCTATTGAACTTGAAACTTAATGACTATTTGTAAATTTGCATACAATGAGTAAATCAGCTTTGGAAGTACGGTATGTGTGTGGGTTTGACATTAAAACAATGCAAAAATTATTCTTTATTGAATTGGTTAAAATCTTATAAGCAATGTATTATAAATTTTAGTCATTTTTGTTTTCTATCACTTTGTTACTATTTTGACACTGAAAATAACCAATTTTAATTATTTCAGTGTGTGAGAAGATCTTGCTGTGTGTATCACACTCCAATGGAGCTCTTCACTTATTAGACCCCACAAGGAGAATTTCTGAAGGTGCTGATCCCACAAGTGATGGCACATATCCATGGAAAGCCTTGTCACTCGACACAAGGGTCCTAGCAGCTTGCACGGTATTGGATGCCCTAGTTACTTCTGATGGTTACACCATCTCAATTCATCACTTCAAATTAAAGAAAGTTGAGGATACTATAACTAACAAGTGTAGTTGCTTGTCATGCCAGGATATTGAAAGCAAGTGCGAAAATATCGATTTCCCAGGAGTTATTTCTCTGAAACGCAATGCTGGAAACGTGCAAATGATCACAGTTGATGGGAGGCGTTATGATATTTCGTTAGAAAAATTAATGAAAATCTGTGAGGCTCGATCCAGTGAAAAACGTGACAGCGGCTGCAATATTCCCTTACAAAACACATTGATAGAAATGCAAGAAGTCTCTGAATTAATAACCAAAACTCACAAGGTTAGTGAAGAACTTAACGCTTATATCCAGCAGTTCAATTTAGCTCAACATCTTCTGAACTCGTCGGCATCTGTCACAGAAAATTTGTTCGACATCAGCTACGAAGTATGCCCTTGCTTTGACCCTGACCACGATTACAAATTAGAGATCAAATTAACATCAACAGAGCATGTGATGAAGGGACGATGGTGGCGCGCTCGCTTGGGTGTTCCTGATGGCGACACAACTCGTCATGTCACTGGAGGATTAGGCGATTCCAGCCATACATTCTCTATTAGGTTATCTGTAGCGGAGGCCATGCGACTTACCCTGTTGTCATGTGAGGACGAGAGCCATCGCTTGCTTAAAGTTGATCTTATTTTCATGGACCTTCAGTGCGGTAGTCCTCTGGTGTGTATCTCCATTAAAAAAATTATGCTCGGCGTTTGGAAGTTTCTGACAGAAAAGCGAGAGGTGAAAGCTGCTACTGAGGAAAGCAGCTCACTTTTCCGTCATTTAGTCGACATGGCAGGTGTTGAGAAACCTCATAAACTCCCAAAGGCAGGCATCACGCACGATTTTTCATTAAAATTACATCATTCTAGCACATTGCTTAGGAAAATCTCTAGTTTAATTGGATGTGGGGGAAACCTTAACGAGTCTGCGAATAAATCCTTAAGTAAATGTTTATATTTTGGCTGTGAATCTGTCGTAATTAGGCTTTCTTCTGCGCCAAATTTGTTACATGTTCAGATATCGAGCTCCTCAGCTGCTGTAGCGGTAACTTTAAGGAAAGATTTAGAACAACTAGCTTCCCTAAATGATCCGTCTAAAGACCGTGACGAAGTAGCGATCACTTCCGATTTACTACAAGATGTTCAGTTCTTCCAGTGCTTGCTAGACTCGTCAGTTGACCGTTCGTGTCAAGCTAAAGAAGTGCGGACGTTCTACAGCAGGTTGCACGAAATTGCTGCTACCTTGCCGACTTGATATTTCTTAACAGAGCCGGTCAGTTACTGTGTAATGGATGTCATTAATATTGATCTGTTTTCATTGTTAACGATTCGTAAATCTGTAACGATTTTATGCAGAAAACGAGCATTATACGTCTAACGTCTGTAAAAGCTTTTATTTTATCCTCAATTGATCGGCATTCGGCAATGGTCCAGAACTTGCATATTATCTGTGGAGTGGCGGTGTACATCGTATTTTTTCGGTCAAAATTACTGCAGACTTATGATCTTGATTGTTAGTGCGTATTTTTTCTTGCCTACTACAGTGGCTTATATGTATAGACTTATGAGTATGACCAAAATGATGGAATTTCATTATAGCTTCCCCTCAAAAATTTTTCTTTTTACCACGAATAAATTTTAGCGGTAACTTTAGCTTCAATTGTAGTAGTATTTATTTTTTGCAGTATTAATCAACAAGAAATGGCATCGTTCTCAAATTGATTAGACCCATGTAATTTCTAGGAATTAATTAGCTATTTTCGTATACAGGTGTATATCCGGGAAATAAAATATACCCCCATATTTATGTCTCCGCAATTCTAATCCATACGCACGCCATAAAGTTTGAATTAATTTTATACCTTCATATTGCTGCGTTCTTGCTCTCAGTACCGCGGACAGAACGGTATTATAAAAAAAAAACAAATCCGTGAATTACAAAACTAAACAACTTTACTACGATAAATTCATTTCGATCAAAAACATGACCAGGAACATGACAATATTTTAAGCGTGCAGCTCTAGATATTGTTGGATAGTTATAGGATTCCAAACTATTTGAAATCAGTTAAGTTGTCAATTTCATTAGCAAAAAATAAAAATGTTGGCAAACGTAAACGATTTTCACATGTATTTTAATCCACCAATACGTCAATTTTCTAAGTTAGTGTAGTCAATCACAAAAAAACTATGTATGGGTGACTGGTGAAGAATGGCGGCAAAAATCAATCACATCGGTGGTTCAGTTGAGCGCAGGTGTTCAGTGGCCAGGATGCGGTCTCGTCGCAGTGAACCAAGTTTGATTACGCATCCTAGACCTCCCACTCGTGGTGATGGTCGTGTGCCAGATAAATATATGAACTAATTTTTGTGTGGAGGCGCAGTCTATGGCTGTTCATCCACTATAAAGTCATGAAGTATATATGATATATTATTGGAGAAATTTGATAGATTGCTTTATAAAGCATGTTATTTTTTTTCTGTCGTTCATAGAAATGGAATAAAATGTTGAGAAGTATCACTAGCCATAATATGGGGTTGATTTAATACTGGAGCGGTGTGATATATTGGGTTAAGTGTCTAGTTTAACTCGTTTGTTTTAATGAAAAGCAGTTATGTGACTTGAGAATCTGAGTATTGTGTTCACTCCACAATAAATAGTCCAGACGTATTGTGTTCACTCTATAAATAGTCTAAACTCTAAAAGTATTGTGTTCACTCCTACATAAATAGTCTAGACGTATTGTGTTCACTCCTCTATTATTTCACGCTTATTTCGTCTTTCACGCTTATTTGGTCTAACACGCTTATTTCTTCATTAATGCATATTTCGTCTTTCACGCTTATTTCGTCTTTCACGCTTATTTCGTCTTTCACGCTTTCACGCTTATTTCGTCTTTCACGCTTATTCCATATTTCATTTCTACTTCTTCATTCCTTCTTAATTTGTTCATTACGTTCAACGCGTCTTTCGTACTCATTTCCTCACATTCGATCGTCATTTATTACGATCGAATGGCACTTCGTCATTCATTTTCACTTCGTGCTTCACGTTCACTTCATCCCTCTCATTCACTTCGTCCTTCACGTTCACGTCGTCCTTCATTTTCACTTCATCCCTCTCATTCATCTCGTCCTTCACGCTGGACGGCGTCAGGCTCACATCGCCTTGTGATCAACGGCGGTGACCGTAACAGTTACGGTGTAATCTTTATGAACACTGCAAGTAGCGACGATGGCCGTTACAGTTACGGTGTGATCTTGATGAACATTATAAGTAACAGCGATGGCCGTAAAAGGGCCACGATTACGACGTGCTTGTGATGAACACCGTGAGTTACGGTGATGATCGTATCTGTAACGGTGATGCTGTCTCAGTTACGGTGATGCCGTCTCAGTTACGACGATGCTGTCTCAGTTACGACGATGCTGTCTCAGTTACGACGATGCTGTCTCAGTTACGACGATGCTGTCTCAGTTACGACGATGGGTTCTGTGATGGCTCGGCTGCTACTCAGGTTACTGGCAAAAATTTACTGTGCTTTTTTACTGTCCAAGTTGCAACTTCTTGGTTGCTCGTGTTGACGGGCACAACCAATATTAGGCCCGTTACTGTCTTGCCCGTGTTGACGGGCACAACCAATATTAGGCCCGTTACTGTCTTGCCCGTGTTGACGGGCACAACAAATATTAGGACCGTTACTGTCTTGTCCGTGTTGAAGGGTAAAACAAATATTAGGACCGTTACTGTCTTGCCCGTGTTGACGGACACAACAAATATTAGGACCGTTACTGTCTTGCCCGTGTTGACGGACACAACAAATATTAGGCCCGTTACTGTCTTGCCCGTGTTGACGGGCACAACAAATATTAGGCCCGTTACTGTCTTGCCCGTGTTGACGGGCACAACAAATATTAGGACCGTTACTGTCTTGCTGCCACATGTTATTCCCTCAATTTTGCTGTACGCCGTCAACATCATCGTACTTCATGTATCCTATTTCCCCGTGTTTTTTGTTTCATTTAAATTTATTTCCCTAAAATGTAAATGCATTTAGATCGTCGTGTGAACATTCCTCCTCAACAGATGTGGGTTGTTTTTACATTATTTCTTCTCACGATGGCTTTACACACCCCATCTTGTGTGGGGGATACCATGCCCCTCCTACCCGTCTTCCAGGGTGACCGCGCTCGGGATGGCATCCCGGGGTTCCTGCCTCTAGGATTCCCGACGTTAGTTCCTAATTATCAATTATTCATGCACTTAAAACCCATGATTATTTTTAATTATTGTAATTCACCGTATTTATAGTTACGTGAATTATCGTACATGCAAATATAGATTTTTCGAGTTTTTAAATAGTTATTGTTGTTGAATATTGTTGTTGAATAGTTGTTAAATAGTTATTGTTGTTGAATTTATAGTTACGTAAAGACATTCAAATATATCGAGTTATCGAGTTGTTAAATAGTTATTGCTCTCGAATAGGTATAATTAGCATACTGTTATTTATTGCAGAGCTATAATTATAATAAATGTGTATGGCTATGGCAGGGTTGCCGTGACCGCAGACCTTGGCACCAACGACATCTACGGGGCGGCGGAGGCAGCCCTGCTGCCAGAGACCCTGGCGGGGGCCGTGGTGGTGTACCCCAGCCTCCTCCTCCAGCAGGACACGGAGACACCCGCGTACCTGGTCTTGGTGGGGGACCAGCTGCAGCACTGGCTACAGCTACTGTAGCAACTGCTACAGTAGCTGCTGTAACGTTTGCTGGACCTTCTGTAGCGACAACTGCAACACGAGCTGTAGTTGCAAGAACGGCATTTTCAACAACTGTAACACCTACTGTGGGGGCTCCTTCAGCTACTGTAACAAATTTTGTAACTGCTGCTTCTATTGTTATAGTATTATATAATATTATATTATATATAATATTACTGTAATATTATTACTGTAACATGGGCTAAACGGGTTATACTCATCATGGTGCAGCTACTTGTACTATATTATACAGTTACTGCTACTCTTGTTGTACTGTTGTACGCGGGTGGCTGTTGAAACTTGGGTGAGAGTAGCAAAGCATGCAGCTGTAAGCTCAAGCAGCTGTTGTGTCTGATGAAACACTTGCTGCAGTTGTAACAAGCAATCTTAATCTTCTACCGCCTGACACGAGTAACCGGAGCAATATTGTCACGCGCCTACTTCCCAAAAAAGATACGTTGCTAGTGAGCGCAAAATGACTCGAGCTCAACTTAAAAATGTTCTCTGTTGCGGACAAACGTCCTCAGGTTGCTACACTCAATAGTTTACGTACAATTTGCCGCCACGTACGATAACTTTAAAATGTTCTCTGTTGCGTGCAAACGTCCTCTGTTTGCTACACTTAATAGTTAACGTTTAATTTTAAAGTTATTTTTCCAGAGAGTGACATACGGCGGTAGAGGGTTAAGCTCGTGTTGCAGCTACGGAAAGTTTTAAAACACAGTAAACTTTTGTAAGGGTAATAAATACACGCATAATGTACTTGTACATATAATATAATTTTCAATACAGTCACCGAATTTATTCATTAAAGTGAAGTCTATTTGTATTTGCTTTCATTCATCACTCGTTACACACATGAAGTCAATGTCGCTCGCTAGGGCGCATTACAAGTTTATAGCTTCAGAAAATCTTGTGAACAAGCATTCGTTACAAAATGTCCTTAATCTGAGAAGTAAACTCAGCGTCCGATATAAAAATATCTGAATATCTAATATTTCAATACCGTCATAAATTGTTGACGATAATACATACTATACGGCCTTCATTTGGAAGTCACTCGAAAAATGAACAGGATTTTGTACCAAGATCGATGCACCTTCAGAACTTTGTTCAGTTATTATAGATGCACTATTATATGAGTCATCTTGACCCAGTTTGTCCCGAAAAAATGGCAAATCAGTGCTACAGGGAAGAAGTGTGTCACTATTAGAACAATATGATCCTTAAATTTATCTGAGTATACGGTTTGGCTCACTGTTTTCTTTTGCAGATTTCTTTAAGTCAAAAGTCTACACGATCAAAGTATCAATAATTACAAACGTGTCCGTCTTAAGCTCAAGTTACGATGAGTGGAATAATATTAAAGTCTTATAAACTACCTCAAGTAATGAATACGGATAAGGGTAACGATATACGTATAATCTCTGACGATAAGGATATATATAATCTCTGCGGAGCCGCAAGCTCGATCTGCGTTCCACAAGCCGACGAAAATGACATGTAAAAGCATTATTCATTGGCACCATTACTATCAAGTAAATCCTCGCTGATAAATGAAATCTGGTTGATATAATATGAACTAAATTCAAAAATTAATTTTAAAATAAAATTTCAAATTGTTGAAATTCTTTTGAAGGCTTTAACCATAATTACATTGCTATCTATTTCATCCAGCGTGTTAAACCTTCGTCCACGAATACAAAAAAAAAAAGGCCACCAATGTTATTCGTACCTAGAGACACTAGAGTCGCCGTCCTGCATGGCGACTTACAGTATGTGTCATGGACGTTACACTCCGAGAAAGGAGTGAGTCAATGTCCAAAAAACTATGCACGTTTTCTTCCTGTGTGTGCCATCGTGACCCGGTTTTGTTCGGCAAAGGACGGATCAATGCTACCTACTATCATCTAATGCTTTAGTATCGTTATTATGAATTATTATACAATAATGTAACGCACTTACATTATTGTATTGCATTATTGCAATAATGTAATAATTATACACTTATGCAAGTGTATCATTATGTGGACAATGTGACCTATTTATTTTGTGAGTGCAGCGTCAGCAGCGGCATCAATTAACTAGCAAAGCCCTTCGGTGACCCTGAACCCCGACATCAGTTATCTAGCAAAGGCCTTCGGTGACCCTGAACCCCGACATCAGTTATCTAACATAGCCCTTCGGTGACCCTGAACCCCCTGACGGAGACCTCTATAGGGGCTCGTCAGCAGGGTTGGGCTCTGAACCCCGACATCAGTTATCTAGCATATCCCTTCGGTGACCCTGAACCCCCTGACGGAGACCTCCAGGGGTTCGTCAGCAGGGTTGGGCTCGATGGTCAGGACGACCATGAAGGAGTTCCTGACGGGGGCGAAACTGACGCTGGTCAGCTGCCAGCCGTCCTCGTCAGGCACCGCGACGCTCGCCACGTCCTCCTGTAGCAGCACCTGTCCCAGCGGCCACACCGACACCTGTGTCACGAGCAATTATTAGTAAATAATTAATTATTTAATTATTTATTCAATTATTTAATTAAAAAATAATTAGTAATTAAGTTTATACTGAGACTCACGGCAAGGCGCGGTGTAGGGGCGCCGCCCCTGAAGCGGTGGGCGAGGGCGACGCAGATGGCGCTAGAGGAGGTGGGCGACAGCGTCCGTCCCAGCACCAGCTGTCCCGCCTCACCCTGGGCCAGCTCTGCACGCACCACTGCGCACCACATCAATAATTGCTTAATTGCTTTATGTATTAAAGTATTAATAATAAATAAAGTAATAAAAACTATCTGCACGCACCACTGCGCACCACATAAATAATTGCTTTAGGTAATAACTATTATTATTAATAAATATCGTAATAAAACTAATTACTTTAGGTAATAATAAGTATTATTAATAAATAAAGTAATAACAAGTATTAATAGTGAATAAAGTAATAACAACTAATTGCTTTAGGTAACAACAAGTATTAATAACAAATGAAGTAATAAAAACTAATTGCTTTTTTTAATAACAGGTGTTGAAAATAAATGAAGTAATAATAACTAATTGCTCAATTACACGTATCAATAATAAATAAAGGAATACAAACTAATTGCTTTGAATAATAATAAGAATCATGTTGATCAGTGTGATCAGTTTTGCTGCCTTTCATTTCATCGGGAAGTGTACTTCATTTTATAAACTATTCGACTTGTTGTTTTTTGTTAACTTGTTTTTGAATAATTAGAAAACTTCAACTTGAAATAACTTGAAATTCAATTATAAAGCAGTCTAATTATATAGCAGTCTAATTATATAGCAACCTAATTAAATAGCAGTCTTATTATATAGCAATCTAATTACATAGCAGTCTAATTACATAGCAGTCTAATTATATAGCAGTCTAATTATATATCAGTATAATCATATAGCAGTCTAATTATATATCAGTATAATCATATAGCAGTATAATTATATAGCAGTCTAATTATATATCAGTATAATCATATAGCAGTATAATTATATAGCAGTCTAATTATAAAACATTCTAATTATATGGCAGTCTATTTACATAGCAGTCTAATTACATAGCAGTCTTATTATATAGCAGTCTAATTTCCTTAGGCGCTATTATTCAAGTATTTCGATTTAAGACTACAGTTCGACTCATTGCACATTTGAATTTGATTAAAACGAGTTTCCATTAAATAATAAACTATATTAATAAATAATATTAGCATCTAATTCAATATTTATATAATTCAAATCATTCAATTTCAGCCAAACAAGGCTTCAGTCGCATGGGTACAAAACATTTATATAACTTGTCACAAAATAAAAGTATTCAAAAGGATTATGAATTCAGTCATCAAGTGATCGTACAATAATAAAATTATTCATTATTGAAATTTTATTTCCTCAATTAAGTTAGGTCAAAATAAATATATATAATATTGACCGTTATAGCCGCCCTCCGTATGGTGTCTCCATTGGCCGGCCAAGGCAACCACGGGGCACGGGGCGGCCGCGTCTTGGCAGGACAGAAGCGCCTTTGCAGGCCTTGACGTCTCATCTGTCAAGTCGATGGACGACGTCTCGTCTGTCAAATCAATGGACGATGTCTCGTCTGTCAAGTCGATGGGCGACGTGTCGTCTAAGGACGACGATTCAAGACGTTGTATAGCGGGCGTCATCGTTGACCGAATTTTCCGGCGTTGGCCTGACGGAAGAGGGAGCGCGTAGGGAAAATTTTGAGTTTACCAAATGTAAAGATACAATTTTGTAATTTTATATTTATTTCTATATTTTTATACCAAATGTAAAGAGACAAATGTAAGAGACAAAATAATTTTATTTCTAAATGGAATAAAAAAATCGTCCATGCTCGAGTTCGAAATTTGAGAAAAATTATTCATTTAATTCATGATGGGTGAAAATATTTAAAAGGTTATTTTTTACTAAGATTCTTCAAAAAAATGTCTTTGCTACCAAAATTTATTTAAATAAATCATTAAAACATAAAAATACGAGGAACTATAGTTTGAATCGTGAGCTATATTAATAATGAGCTTTTCTGTACATAGATTCTATGTATTCCATATTACACTCCATTATCTTAACTTAAACTAAGAAACGACCTGCAAGATCCTGGCTTTCTTATTATAAAAATCAATAATAATATTTTAGTTCATTCATTTATACCCGATGGTATTTCGAAAACAAGTCCATCAGAATTCTTTTGTGTTACAAACCAAATTCTGTGCCATAAATTTACATCATTTTAAAAACCATACACGATTTAAAATCATTAATTCCCCTGAGTTTTATATCAAATTTTATTTATTTATAAATTCTATATATAGAATTGTAATAAATGTAGTATTTCCACTACATTTTTTCAATCCAACATTTCTATTTAATCTTAATCTTAATTCTAATCTTGATCTTTCTAATTTTTTAATTAATTAAATTAAAGTCTGTTAATTAAATTGAGTTTTATGTATGCAGCTTACCCGCTGCCTGTAGGGCTGCGCTCAGGAGGCCGGCGTCGCTCAGCTGTCGCAGGGTGCCCATGTTAGATCTACAGGACACGAGTTATACATTAACATTCAAGATTAAATTAAAAAATATAACTCAGTACTCACTGCAGTGAGTGACAGAGAGCGCATTTTCTCGTCGACGAAAACTTGAGGTCACGGATGGACGGACAGACAGACGGACGGACGGACAGACGGACGGACAGACAGACAGACAGACAGACATGGCGAGCACAATAGTGCATTTTTTCCATAAATGAGAAGATGCGCTAAAAAGCAAGGCTAATTACTCGTGCAGAAACAAATATTCAGAAATTATGTAGTCATTTTTTGGAAATTTAGTGTCTAGGCTTAGGCGTGCTCATTAGTGATTCATTATTTTTATATTATTGTTTCACTGTGAAAAAGAATGGGTTTAGGAATGAAGATTCAAAAATGCGGTTCGTTTCATATGTGTAAACAGTACGGAACAAAATAGAGTTTTTCGTGCTAATGGCTGTCGAAAGATTTATAATAATCATTGGTTACTAATCCATTTTATAGATTTTTATATCTGCTTTTTTCAGAGTTCATCGTCAATAATTTTCAAGCAAACTATGTCTTTTGAATTGCATGTTAAGGGAAAGATATGCTTCAAAGTTTATGACTTTCGATTTGGCATTGCCCAATTTTTAGGTACTATTTCACATTTGTTGATCTAGGAGTAAGTTAAGCAATATTCCTTATGTTATTGGTCGGAATCATCGAATGAATACGGCTTGAACAAACGTGGAACCACAATCTATTCCATGAGCAGGTCACATGGCGGGCCCATGACATTTGACCAACGCATTCGAACACATTAACAGATATGTACTTTCTTCAGCTTATATATAGGCATTAGGCAAGAACTGGACAAACTTGATTAACTGCAACATCTCGCAACGAACTTTGAACAGTTTTTCTTTATAATGAACAATTGTTTCGAATCTGCGCACATTAGAATTTGCATTATAGCTGCAGCTGGTTCCCGCCTTACTGCTGCTTGACTACAAAGAAACAGCCTACTCTCTACTGCACTGTGCAATTACCGAGTTAGGTGTGAGTTGCTACTCGTTTAGTGCCTTATGAATTAAAAAGAATGTCTTGTTTACCTAGGTCTCTACTTGGAAATAATTGAATGAGGCTAAATTGGGCAGATTGAAGCCAATATTACAGTCTTGTGCGGCAAAATTATGAAATTTCTAGTCTTGGACAGCTGTACGTAAAAATCAACTCACGTAAAATTTCTTAGAGCTGCAATCGTTACCACGAGATCTAATAGGTAAGTAGAAATAGTATTAAATGCCAATTATACGATGTGGAACGTATTGCATCAAAATAATGATGTAAAGTAACAATTTTCAGCTATCAAGCAGTCACGCCCGATAGTTCTCTATTGGATAATCAGCTTAATAATTCATTCCATTTAGCGGATCCATTCGTGCCTGCATTTTTACTCATTAGTCATTACTCAGGTATGTATTTATTGAGTAAGAGAGTGAGGGTAATAATGTTATTTTCCAAACATTTTGATAGAAGAAAATGTCGCTCTGATGGGTTATTCGTTATAGTAATGCATCCAGGATACCACACAGTGCACCTATACCTTGAGCTATGCCTTAAAAACGTCTTCGAAACAACATTGCTGCCGATCTAAAGCGCGGAAAATATTGAATAAGCTCTGACATCTACGTCTAATACTAACGACTATAAGATGCCTCTGGCAGTCAACCATGACGAAGAATTGAACAAGCCTTTGAAAGTCATGCAAAATAAAGCATCCGAGCTTGATTCGGCAGCCTTGCATGAAAACTCTTCCAAGATACCATTGGCAATCATGCCTAATAGAGCGTCCAAGATACCTGTGGCAGTCACGCCTGATGGAAAGTCCAAGATACCATTGGCAATCATGCCTAATAGAGCGTCCAAGATACCTGTGGCAGTCACGCCTGATGGAACAGCCAAGATACCTGTGGCAGTCACGCCTGATGGAAAGTCCAAGAAACCTGTGGCAGTCACGCCAGATGGAAAGTCCAAGATACCTGTGGCAGTCAGGGCTGATGGAAAGTCCAAGAAACCTGTGGCAGTCATGCCTGATGGAAAGTCCAAGAAACCTGCGGCAGTCACGCCTGATAGAGCGTCAAAGATACCTGTGGCAGTCACGCCTGATGGAAAGTCCAAGAAACCTGTGGCAGTCACGCCTGATGGAAAGTCCAAGAAACCTGTGGCAGTCAGGGCTGATGGAAAGTCCAAGAAACCTGTGGCAGTCANGCAGCCACGCCTGATACGTCGTCTGAAATACCTCTGGCAGCCACGCCTGATGCGTCGTCTGAAATACCTCTGGCAGCCACGCCTGATGCGTCGTCTGAAATACCTCTGGCAGCCACGCCTGATGCGTCGTCTGAAATATCCCTGGCAGCCACGCCTGATACGTCGTCTAAAATACTTCTGGCAGCCACGCCTGATACGTCGTCTGAAATACCTCTGGCAGCCACGCCTGATACGTCGTCCGAAATACCTCCGGCAGCCAGGCCTGATGTGCCGTATGAGATACCTTTGACAGCCACGCCTGATACGTCGTCTGAAATACCTCTGGCAGCCACGCCTGATACGTCGTCTAAAATACTTCTGGCAGCCACGCCTGATGCGTCGTCTGAAATACCTCTGGCAGCCACGCCTGATACGTCGTCCGAAATACCTCCGGCAGCCAGGCCTGATGCGCCGTATGAGATACCTTTGACAGCCACGCCTGATACGTCGTCTGAAATAACTCTGGCAGCCACGCCTGATACGTCGTCTGAAATACTTCTGGCAGCCACGCCTGATACGTCGTCCGAAATACCTCTGGCAGCCACACCTGATATGTCGTATGATATACCTCTGGCAGCCACACCTGATATGCCGTATGATATACCTCTGGCAGCCACGCCTGATACGTCGTCTGAAATACCTCTGGCAGCCACGCCTGATACGTCGTCTGAGATACCTCTGGCAGCCACGCCTGATACGTCGTCTGAAATACCTCTGGCAGCCACGCCTGATGCGCCGTATGAGATACCTCTGACTGCATTTTGCCTATTCATGCAGCACACCATCCTAATGTTGATTGTTTCCCAGATTTTGTCTCGTTTTTGAGCCCATTTGTTCTATGTTTGAGCCATGCCCTAAATGAACCCATATCGTAAGGCCCACTGAAGACCTTAGACTCGCCTGAAGAAGACCAGCGGGCTGCTGTTTGCTGGTAGAGCGCTCAGAATTTCCCTCACACTATCCAGGGAATCCGTCTTTATTATCTGAAAATTTTTGCAGTGATTAAATATTTTTTTGGGCATGGCATACGCTTTCTGATATTGTGATCAAAAATATATTGTACATATATTGAAAGAATTTTTTTATTATTCGACGATTCTTTACCTGCGAGTCCCTGCCGACGTTGACCAAGAATTTGTTGAGCGTGTCAGGAGGCAAAACGTCCATGATTCCAGACTGATTTTTTATCTGTATTTCGGGTTGTTTTCCGGATTGGAGAGCAGGTTGTGTGACAGTTGACAGACCTGCTTCTTGCACTTGGCCTTGTCTGGCCCTCTGTCTCTGTAGCGCCAGAGTCGCTGGATGAGGAGGCAGAGTCTGGGAACCTCGAATTCCGGTTGACAGACCTACGAAATTCGTAAGAATTCCTGCTGGAGCTGGTGCGTCGTCAACCTGATTGTTAGCTGCAGTGGTTGCCACCTGGTTGACAGTGAGTTTAGTGGATGCTACTTCAGAGGTTGGGTTGGCACTGTTGTTGGGGGAGGTAGGCAATTGGTTGATGTTGGGCTGAGACTGGATTAAAGAGCGGCCTTGGCCGTCAATTTGGCTGCCAGTCGAGGAGGTTGATTCTAAAGTTGCAAGGTTTTGACCGATGGATTTTCCGCCAGCCTCTCCTTTGGGGTTTTCATTCGAAGCTGAAAAATTTAGCATTGGCATCAAGGATCCAACCTAAACCTGAATGCACTAGTTGCTGCATGCGAAAAGTGTTGATTTTTCAATTCAAATTGAGATATTATTGATGCATTGATTGAAAATGGCCTGACTGATTCGGAATTTCACTAAAACACTCGTATTTAGGTAGTGAAATTGTAATTTGTTCTATTTATTTAACGATGATGGGTAATTTATCGGACTGAAAATTCTAAACCCAGTAACGTTGATGGGCGAAAAATTGAATCTGCTTAAGATCAAATGTGGGCATGATGAATAACCGTAGTACTTGCATTAGCGAGAATTCGAGAAAATTTTACAAATGCTTTACCTATATCATTCTTAATACTGTGAATTTTAGTATAGTAAAGATAATTCACACATGCGCATCATCATTATGTGGTAGTGAAAATGATTACTATAATAAGCATGAAGGGTTAGCTGCTTGAACAACATTCATGTGCGTCATGCAGGTTGTGACCCTCCTGTAACCCTCGTATACTTTTATTTATAGCATACTCTCTCTAAGCTAACCATTTTTTTAGTACACTCAAAAGCAATTTCTTTTTCGTAATTAATGCTTGTTTTTAAGTTCAAGCATCGACGAAAAAAAATTTTTTTACTTGATACTAGTTCAATATTTTTTATGTTAGTTTGGGTGTTGGTACGTACGATTGTATTGTGTAAAAAAATACCGGTCGTTAATTATTTTAAATATAAAATTCAAACGTGCATTCCTCACCAGCTTCGTTCTCGTCGGTGGTTGCATCGCCGTCATTTACTGATAAATCAGCCTTGTCGTTACTGTCCCCAACGTTTTTACTACCGTTATGCGTGATCCCTGTTGTGTTTCTTGGAGAAGAAAGTCTACGCACGAGTCTGTTGAAAGTCTGTTTGTGTGTCTGGCCTTTATTGGTCATTCGAAACAATTGTTGGTTGTTGAAAAATGTCAGCAAAGCTGCAACGTTTGTCATATCAGAAACGTTGAGGGCGCGTAGAATGTCTTCGGCCTTCAGGATCTCCGTGAACGGCTCCGATGTCGAAAATGATGCCGCCCCGAAATTCGAAGTCGAAGCGTCTGGAGACTTCGACGTTGGTGAAAGATTAGGTAAGGTTCTTGAGTGAGTTACGGAGGAAGAATCTGTGGCCAAAGAGGAAGTTGAGTCTTGATTTTTAGTTGCATTTAAAGGGAATGTTATTTGTAACGAAGGCTTAGAATCCCTGGTAAGAGTTGGTATCGATCTATTCCGTGGTCTCCGAAGCTGGGCTATCCTTTCGTGATCCAAGTTTTGGTCAAAGTAGTCGAAGTACCATTGCTCTACTGATCTCTCGTTGCTAATGTCGTCAAAATCTTCCGTGAATTTTTCTTCTATCGAAATTGCGTCAGCATAATCATCGTCGTCAAAGTAATGAGCATCTTCGAACGAACCAAATTCGATATCTGGATGAATTCTTGGCTTCAAAACATGGGGTTCCGCACGAAGTTTTTCAAGCCTTGGTGTCGGGATTTGGAATCTGTTTGCTCTTCGAGTGATGGTTTCTTTAGAGCCATCGGCGCTGTTTAGGTTCCGGATGAGGTTAGATTTCTTTAGTTTCCTGCTGAAAATATTCTCATGTTTACTTCTGAGTTTCCCTTTGCGAAGTTGGTTTCTCATGAACGGTTTCCTTCTGAATTGGGCACGCAGGTTTCGAAGCGAATTTCTTAACGACAATTCAGATTCATCTTCATGAAATTCATTAGTTAAATTACTTTGATTATCACTTATGTTAAAATTTATCGAAGCGGCATTGATGATAGGGTTTGTAGTCTCTGCAAGCCCATCAAATGAAATGCCCATGCTGTCATTTCCTGGTTCAATTTTTGATCTCAACGCATCTTTGAAATTACTCTTTTCATCCAATTTTGACGCTTCAAAAGAATCGCTAATTCTAAGGTTTTCGCTTTCGTTAAATATTTTTCCAACATCATGAAGTCTGTTTTCACTTTTTGCATCCTGATCAGGACCAGTAACGAAGAACCCAGTCTGCTCCTGATAAATGCTATCAGGATCAGAATGAGTGACGAAAAACCCCGGTTCATCCATCTTGCTGTCCGTCCTATGCTCCGGAAAAGCCTCGATGAAAAGTTCCGAGTGTCGCAGATTTTCGTAATTTATTTCAGTTTTAGGATCAGGAAAAAGAAGGAAGAGGTCCTCGACTGCGAGGTTGGCGTCCAAGAAGAACTGTGGGATTGGGGTTGTGGTAGCGATGAATGGTAGGAACGAGTTGCTTGCAGGTGGTCGATGGTTCCTCTTTGGGACTGAAGTGGTAACGCCGTTATATTGAATTAAGTTAGATTGGTTAAATTATAAAAGCGAATAAAGAGGTGAAATGTTTAATTTAGTAGAAAAAATTACAGAGTCTTATTGAATGTGAGTAACAAAAGCATTAATTAGCTGTTATTTCGCGTAGAAAACCATGCTTTATTTCACTAGGAATAAAATAGAAGAAGAACCATCAATAAACATGAAATATGAGTGTTAGTAGTTTTCGTATACAATGTTATTTCGACCGGAAAATATTCCCTCGTAAATTTCGCACTGCCACATGTTTAGAACTTAATCAACCTCACTAAAACAAACTAAACTAAGCTGAACTAAATCTATCAGTGAAAATTTCTAAACGAGGTCCGGCGAATGCCCAACTTTTTCTTAGCTTTAAATGTAACATTTTTTTCTTCAAGAAAAAATTCTCAGCGCCCAAAGAACCCAAATTGTTGTTTACCGCACAGTCCAGGGTGGGTGAGAGAACATGATGTGCCGAGCGGACATGACGAACATGGCTGGCCTCTCCGGTACATGGGGGTGAACATGACGTTGCCGGTGGGGCCATAGTTGCACGTGTAGAGTTTCTTGAACCAGCCGCCCTCCTCGAACATAGTGAACCCGCAACCCACGAGACTTGTTCCCGCCCACACCATCGCAGTGTAGTGACCCGTAGATGGGTCAAAACTGCCCACCCGAGAGTCCATGTACAGTATTCCGTACAGTATTCGGTACAGTACTGATATGTACAGTATTCCGTACAGTATTCCATACAGTATTGATATGTACAGTATTCCTAGAGTATTGATATGTACAGTATTCGGTACAGTATTGATATTTACATTGTTCCGTACGTTCAGTATTCCGTGACAAATGATTTTTATTTGGGAAAAATGGCGGAAATTTCGTCTTCGGAATGCAAATGAAAGGATGTTCTTAATTTTGTTGGAAGCTGGTGCAGACCATGTAAAAGTAAATTTGTTAATTGAAGCTTGTAAGACTGGCTCAAGAAAGTGAACTGAAGCTGATTGTTTATCTGTACTGAACTTCAAAGAAGACCATTTTCCATTTCCTGGGATTAGTAAAAAATTGCACATTATTTACAAAGTTAATTAATTCATTCAAAGGAAGTGTTTACTTCTCAATTGTGCATCAGGTTCCCTGGTTTGTAAAGTATACTTTCAACAGAGTTTTTTTTTGAAGGGGTTGGGCAAAGATAAACCCTATGACGGAAATAAATTTTTTCTAGACAGTACTTGGCACCACTCACTTGTAGGAGTCAACGCTGGTACTTGCCACCACTCACTTGTAGGAGTCGACGCTGGTACTTGGCACCACTCACTTGTAGGAGTCAACGCTGGTACTTGGCACCACTCACTTGTAGGAGTCTACGCTGGTACTTGGCACCACTCACTTGTAGGAGTCGACTCTGGTAGTTGGCACCACTCACTTGTAGGAGTCGATACTGGTATTTGGCACCAGGTCCACCTCGTCGTACCAGGTCTGGAGGGCAGAGTCCCAGTTTATGGTAGCACTAGCGTCGCTCTGGAACGCCATATACAGGTTCTGGCCAACGCCGAAACGCTCTGTGAAAATAAACCAATTTTATTCACAAATTCTACACTATTTTCACTAAGTGATAGTCGATTTCAAGGCCTTAATAAATAGGGAGGATTCTTAACATAAAATATACAAGACTTAAATCGATTTGAAGGCGTGAAGAAATAGTTTGGATTCCAAAAAAATATAACTCAGTACTCACTGCAGTGAGTGACAGAGAGCGCATTTTCTCGTCGACGAAACGTGAAGCCACAGACGGACGAACGGACAGACGAACGGACAGACGAACGGACAGACGAACGGACAGACGAACGGACAGACGAACGGACAGACTGACTTACGGACAGACAGACATGACGAGCACAATAGCGCCTTTTTTTAAAAAATGAGTAATTGCGCTAAAAACTGCGTTGCAACTCATCCACGGCCACATTCCCCACCCACTCACCCACTCTCCGGCAGTCGCCACACTCGTGTTCAAACAAACATTGGTCGGCGTGACGCTGAGCGATCAATGCAAGCTCTTCGTCCCAGGTCTGCAATGTGAGTAACATAGTTCTAAAATTAATACATTAAATAATAAATTATCATAGTATCATTAAATAGGGATTTTCTACCTTAAAATGTTATTAAGTAAAGTGATATTGAATTAAAACGCTCAATATTTGAGTCATTTGTTTCAGTTAATTAGCGTAAAGAAAAAACATTTTAAGAAGGGGATTTATCTTTGAACTTTTTAAACTGAAATTACGTCAAATAAATGACGTAATTATCGAATATTTTGAGATGACTAATTGAGAGATGGTGAAAAATGAAAAAAATAAAGCACCCTTGAAGGAAGGCTCAAATACCTATACGTATATAGACAAAAGTTTTTATTTACTTTTATTAAATTGAAATTTTTGATATATTATATTGAACAGCTAATAAATATTAAAGTAACTTAAAATGTCCGAAACTGACGATGTCTTGACGTCACGAAACAGAAAAAAATATAGCACATGGTAGAGGTGAAGTTTGCGGATTATAAACCATTTCATCAATTAAGTAAAAATAAAAATTGAAACAATTAATAGTTCCACCTTAAGCTTGTTTGCAGTGAAACTATACAAGAGAATCATATCACATTAATAGTAAGAAGACCTTTACTAGTTTTTGATACTGTTAATAGATATTGATCATAATGGTTGTTATGCAAATTACTGTAAATTTCTTCACTCACCATCTCCATCATGTCCCCAGCGGGGGGTTGAGGCCCAGGGCGCCCCCGGGTCTCCCGCCCCTGGGCCACCAGGGCCCGGAATTTGTTATGACCGTTTGTTATGGTCGCGATATCGGCGGCCGTCACTCCTCTGACCGGGACATTACGGCCACACGCCGGCCCCATACCGGTGGTTTTACACAGCGTGTGCTGCGGGCTAAATGTACAGTACTGCTGTAGCTGCTGGCTGTACACCGACTGGATGTACAGTAGCAGGGACAGTAACTGTACCACTGCGCTCAGCTTTAGCATCTTGACTGTCAAAAGAAAAAAGTTTGATTTATTAGCTAAATAATAAAGTTTTAAGATGCTTGTTAGTGGCAGCCAATACTACTAACAAATGCTATCTGTGTTCGATTATAAAGCTACTGGCCACGTGTCAAGGGCTACATGGGTCATTCCGTTGCCAGTAACACGTATACACGTGGTCAATAACACGGAAAATAGTGTCTTAAAGTTAGTAGTAAAGTAAAGTTTAAAATAGTGTATTTTAAAGTTATAGTGACCTCTCCTACAGCCTCTGCATGTGTACAAGTTTCTTAAAGGAACTCAGCAGATCTAATTTACGTTGTTGGCTATTGCAGCTGCAACGTGAAAGACTGCTACTAGCTACTGACTTGCACGCTTGCTTATATGCAGAATTTTTGTTATCGGGGCATTAATGTAAAGTTTTGATAATTCACTATTAAATTGGATTGAATGACATTAATGGAAGATGATAATTTAATTTTTAATGTATGTATAGCTCTGCCTTGAAGCTCAATGTGAATTTCCAAAAATGTTTGTCTTGATGCACTGTGTCGAATGATGCGTATTGTTTTGTTAGTTTTTGAAAACCACCTAAAATAAGAATTTTAGTTTGTATTTAACAATTTCTTTACGTAGAAATGCACAACAATAAATTATACGGTGTATACGGTATACGGGGTACGAGATGTCAACCCTTTGATACGTCAATACGGCAATATACGTCAACAAGGCGACACTACAATACGTCAAGACGTCAAAACACAATATGTCAACATGAGTATACGGCAACACGATAATATGTCAACACGCAATATGTCAATACAGCAACACGCAATATGTAAACACGACTATACGGTAACGCGACAATACGTCAAAACGTAATATGTCAACACAACAACACGTCAACACGCAAAATATCAACACGCAATATGTCAACAGGTCAACGCGCAATATGTTAACTCGCAATATGCCAACACGTCAACTCGCAATATGTCAACACGACTATACGGCAACACGAAAATACGTCACCATGTCAACTCGAAATATGTCAACACAACAGCACGTCAGTACATAATATGTCAACATTCAATATATCAACACGACTATACGTCAACACGGCAACACGCCCAGTGATCACTTTCATAGCCGCAACACAACTGACGCTAGGAAGTGAGTGAAGTAGCAGCACTTCCACTGATCACTTCCACTGACCACCAACTGTCACGTTCTGGCCTCCATGAAAGTGAGTGAAGTGTTAAGTTGCGTCGCCTAATGAGACGTGTGTTGTGTAACGTGGGGCCAGGCTTTCGCTTTAACGAACTAATTAGAATAAGTAGATTAGATAAGTAGAATAATGGATTACAGGAAATAAGTTTAAATTATTTATGTAATTAATATTGGTGATATGCTGCTTGAGTAAAATTCGATGCACGGTCTTGAAAATTTTGTAATTAGTAGAATTTCACGATGTGAGTAGAACAATAAATATTTATTGGTACAGTGAGTTAGAACATGAATGGTATAATTAATAAACCGGAAGATTAATTATGTATAGAATGATTACTTCATAAGTAAAGAACTTGAAAGATTTAATAGTGAATATATCTTTTCAATGCATGCAATAACCATAAAATGCATACTTGATTGATATTATAAATAATGAAGTTTTGAATTATTTTTAGCCTATAATTAAGGCGTTAGATTGGAGACTGATTGAAGAACAGTGTAGCTGTGTTGTGCTCAGTGTTGTAGGACAAGTAAAGTATCAGTGTAGCTGTGTTGGGCTCAGTGTTGTAGGGCAAGTAAAGTATCAGTGTAGCTGTGTTGTGCTCAGTGTTGTAGGGCAAGTAAAGTATCAGTGTAGCTGTGTTGTGCTCAGTGTTGTAGGGCAAGTAAAGTATCAGTGTAGCTGTGTTGTGCTCAGTGTTGTAGGGCAAGTAAAGTATCAGTGTAGCTGTGTTGTGCTCAGTGTTGTAGGGCAAGTAAAGTATCAGTGTAGCTGTGTTGTGCTCAGTGTTGTAGGACAAGTAAAGTATCAGTGTAGCTGTGTTGTGCTCAGTGTTGTAGGACAAGTAAGGTATCAGTGTAGCTGTGTTGTGCTCAGTGTTGTAGGGCGAGTAAAGTATCAGTGTAGCTGTGTTGTACTCAGTGTTATTTATATGTCCTATAATGCGATGGTTAACATAGCTGCCCCGAGGGTTGTGGTTTTCGTTAATTTCTTATGTAATTAGCGCTTTCGTTTATTCTATTTAATATATGGAAGGCGTTGCGTGAACTTTATTCTATTTAATATATGAAGATGGCTGCCTAAACTCTACGGAAAGTTAAGATACGTTAACAAGAAAAACGTCCGTTCGAACGAAACCACAAGTTTCCTTTACTTCGTCATTATTTTATCTTGCGCACAAAAAACTAAGCCTCTATTTACTCTATTCCAGAGTAGCTCTGGTCGTGTCGCTCTGATCGCTCTGATTGCAATCGCCGTGACGATAACAATTGTTATCGTCACGGCGATCTCGCTGCTGCTGTACGCGAAACAACGCAAGATTTTTCGTGCGATCCATTGGGCGATCAGTGAACCGAATCGCCGTCCAGCTTGCGGGGTGCAAAGGCTTGCGGGGTATAAAGGCATGTGGGGTATAAAGGCTTGCGGGGTATAAAGGCTTGTGGGGTACAAAGGCTTGCGGGGTACAAAGGCTTGCGGGGTATGTATAAAGGCTTACGGGGTACAAAGGATGCGTGTAACACCAGCTCGCTGAAGCAATTGTACGCGATCTCTCCCTCTGGTCACGACCGCTGTTCTTTATTTGGTCCAAATTCGGGTTTAGCAACACCACAAACGCAACTGATTTTTAGGGAAATGCAAACCTAATTTTTGTAAAACTTTTTTTACGTGAATTTCTAGTTAGCGAGTCGTACGGTATGTGAATAAATCATTTCTTCATATAAGGTAAATACATCGAAATTTAATTGATTTGTTGAAGAATTTTTATGAAATTCTTTTGCTTTCACCGTTCGGAAATTTTTGTGGGGACACCTTGAAGAAATGAACTGAATTTTAATTTTAATTTTTGAAAGTAAATTTAAATATAAACTTTTTGAGCTATTCTAAGTATGTTTTCACATATATGCAACTTTGTTGTACATGTGAGCCATGTGTACGAATATGTTATTTAAACTTTCATAGCGCAATTATTATATGGAATTAAATTACAGCTGTACGCTGCATAGCGCTTATAGAACCTATCGTAATTTGAGTAGCATATGCTGCATTTCTAAACATTCGTTGTACAAATAATAGTGAATTGTGAGCTGAGAGTTAAATATCGAGTAGTCTTCTGTTGTACACCTTGTACAATGAACAGTAGTGAAGGTCTCAAGATGTACAATCTTTTTTATAGTACAGGCAGTAAGTTGTAAACCTTTTTAGCGCATTTTCTCATTTATGGAAAAAAGCCGCTATTGTACTCGTCATGTTCGTCCGTCTGTCTGTCCGTCCGTGACCACGTTTTCGTCGACGAGAAAATGCGCTCTCTGTCACTCACTGCAGTGAGTACTGAGTTATATTTTTTGTATAAGTTCTCACGCAGTAGAGTGGCGCAGGCCGGATACGTTCTCACCCAGTAGAGTGGCACAGGCCGTTATAATTAAGTTCTCATCTAGTAGATTGGCGCAGGCCACAAAAAACGAACACGGACACAAAAATACATTTAATGCAGACCGTGTAATATCACTAATGATGACAAGTGTTCAATGTCCTCCCAGAGGCCAGGTGCTGTTCCGTCTCAACAATATTTTCCTTGCGTACTGTGATAAATGCTTGGTGCCTTATTATTACAACACTTCTCTTTAACTTCACTTCTTGTTGTTTTTCTGCTTCATATATTAAAATCTATATTTATTAACTTTCTGAAATTATAGATATTTACGTAAAATCGGAGACAATGCATGAATCAATTGAAAGAATAAATAATTTTAGAAATGTAGAAATTTTTATTTTATGAATATTTAAAAAGTTTAAGATATTTTTTATGGATAAAATAGAGAAAGAAATTCGTGGGTTATAAAGGCTTGCTTCATCCTGTAACATCAAAGACACTGGCCTCTTTAGAAGTGCTGTCTTTAAAAAGTAATTTTTAAACGCATATATGTAATAAATTCCGTAATATTCATTGTCTTCTCCGCCATATATGAACTGCGAGAAGCCAGTTCAATACTCCATGTCCAGGCACATTTATCATTGAACTGACCATCAACTGAGCATCAAAGAAGAACTGACCATCAAAGAACTGACCATCATGGACAATATCTTGAGGCTGCACAATATCTCTGTTCTCATAGGCCACGACCAAACTACAGATACATGGGCAGCTGATGTAAAATAAAAAGAAAATAAAAGATAAGAAAAAGTCAAATAAAATTGCCATATCTTCTATGAAAATGTTTCGGAGATCAGCCCCATCGTCAGTTTCAAAAATTTCCTAGGATTCACGTACAATCAGCAGTGATCATCTAAATAAACTCGGAAGAAATTAAAACTTTAGTAATGAGAAAACAACAACGCGGAACGTAAAACCTGACGATTTACAACTTAAAATGGATAAAGAACTCTACACGTTGTTAAGACAAGGCAAAAATAGAGTCAAATGTTAACCATGCAATTTAAACCATAATTCCCTGACTTATGGCCTCTTGCAGTATCGTTTCTTGTATTAACCTACACTACATATATACAGATATATGCGTATATGATGTATGTACATCTATCATATATGTATATCCTTATATATTTACATCAGAACATATCGGTGTGAACTTGTATATCCTTATATATTACGAGACAGAAAGTCCGATAGCATTAAATACCAGTGCAATTCATGCATACAAAAAGTATTACGAATGCATTTATGTTGAAAACATTTAAAATTCAGTTAAATTGCGAATCCAGTTAAATTGAAACTATATCTCAATTGCTTATGCATGTTGACCTACAGCCGTTTACAAATCC